TAGGGGGCGCACAAGAGGCAACCACACATTGATGTTTCTCTCCCTCTCTTTCTCCCTTCCCCTCTCTAAAAATAAAGAAATAAAATCTTCAAAAAAAAAGAAGTGATACTGTCATTATTTAGAAAGGACATGATTCTTATATAGAAAACCCTAAAGACTCCACAAAAATATTAGAAACAAAAAAATAAAAGTTGTGGGATTTCAAACCAATGTGCAAAAATCTGTTGCATTACGATACACTAAAAATGCAACATCAGAGAAACGAAGAAAACAATCCCATTTACAACCACAACAAAAAATAAAGTATCTAGTAATAAACTTCACGAAGGGGTTGAAGGACCTATGCACTGAAAACTACAAGACATTCCTGAAAGAAATTGAAGAAAACACGAAGAAATGGAAAGATAGTCCATGTTTATGTATTTGTAGAATTAACATTGTTAAAATGGCCATATTACCTAAAGCAATATACAGATTTAATGCAATCTCTATCAAACTCCCAATGGCATTTTTCACTGAAATAAATATTCTTAAATTTGTATGGAGCCACAAAAGACCCCCAATTGCTATATCAATCCTGAGAAAAAAAGAACAAAGCCAGAAGTATCACAATCTCTGACTTCAAAGTATGTGTATATTACAAAGCTATGGTAATCAAAATAGTATGATATTGGCAGAAGAAGAGAAACACAGACCACTGTAACGGAACTGAGAGCCCAGAAGTAAACCCACACATATATGAGCAACTACTTTTTACCCAAGGAGCCACAAACATACAATGGAGAAAGAAAAGATTCTTCAATAAATGGTGCTGGGAGAATTGAAAAACCACATGCAAAAGAATGAAACTAGTCTTCTGGTGCCATACACAAATATTAATTTAAAATGGGATAAAGACTTGAACATAAGACCTGAAACAATAAAATACATAGAAGAAAACAGACACTAAACTTAGGTTCTTTGGTGTCAGAGTGAGTTTTTGTGAACTTGACCCCAAAGGGAAGGGATGTAAAAACAAAAATAAGTAAATGGTACTAAATCAAACTAAAAAGGTTCTATACAGCAAAAGAAGCCATCAACAAAACAAAAAGGCAACCAACACAATGGGAGAAGATATTTGCAAACAATACCTCTGACAAGGGGCTAATACTCAAGATACATAAAGATTTCAACAACAACAAACAAACAATTCAATTAAAAAATGAGCAGAGAACCTGAATAGACACCTTTCCAAGGAAGACCACAGATAGCCAACAGATACATGAAAAGATGCTCAACATCACTGGGTATAAGGGAAATGCAAATCAAAATCAGAATGAGATACCACTTCACACTTCTTAGAATCACTATTATCAAAAAGACAAGAAATAACAAGTGTTGGAGAGGATGTGGAGAAAAAGGAACCCTCTTTCACTGCTGGTAGGAATGTAAACTGGTATGGCCACTATGGGAAACAGTGTGGAGGGTCCTCAAAAAGTGAAGAATAGAGCTACCAACAATCCCTCTTCTGGGTATCTACTTAAAAATTTGATAACATTATTTGTAAAGATAATGTACCCCTATGTTCATTGCAGCATTATTCACAGTAGCTGAAATATGGAAACAACCAGAGTGTCCTTTGACCGATGTTTGAAAAAAGATGTGGTACATGTATACAATGGAATACTGCTCAGCCATAAAAATGTGAAATATTGCCATTTGCACCAACATAGAAGGATCTTGAGAGCATTGTGTTAAGTGAAATAAGTTACATAGAAAAGGACAAGAACTATATGATTTCACTCTTATGTGGGATATAAGAGAAAAAGCAACAAAAGTGATGGCTGCTGCTGTGTTGGGGAGGAGTCAGCACCGGGATCCCGCAGCCGGCTACTCTCTCGGTTCTTTTCCTGGGGCCTCCTTCCCTGGTCTCTCCTCAGGTGTCTCTGGCCTACTCTGCCCCCACCTTTGCCGGAGACCAGGAGAGAGAGGAAGAAAGAGAAACATCTATGTGAGAGATAAATATCGATTTGTTGCCTCCCATATGCCCTGGACCTGGGATGGAACCCGCAACCTTTCAGTTATGGGATGACGCTCGAACCATCTGTGTTGCACCAGCCAGGACCGATGAAAGAGAACCCCATCCATCTAGCTGAGGAGGCAAGTCAGAGAGCGGGGCAAAACTGGAAAGTATGTTTGCCTGGAGCTTTAGCTAACACAGTTGCTGCAAGTAGACACAGTGTTCTGCCAACAGATTTTCTTGGTGCATCTAGGAAATGTAGCCAAGCATTCTTTGGAATAAAACTGTTCAAGGAAGAAAAAACAACAACAAAAGAATTAGCAAAATAAACAAATGGATACAGACAAAGTATGGTGGTGACCAGCAGGGAAGGGGTATGGGGGGAGGTTGAAGAAAGTAAAGGGGATCAAATATATGGTGACAGAAGGAGACTAGAATTTGGGTGGTGAGCACACAATAGAAGAAAATCCTGCTATTTGAAACAACATGGATGCACTTTGATCATATTATGCTAAGGCAGATAAATTGGACAGAGAAAGACACATACTAAGACACATATGTGGAACCTAAAAATAATGGTGAAATCTTTAAAAACTTTTATTGAATTTATTGGGGCAACATTGATTAATAAAATTATATAGGTCTCATGTGTACAATTCTATAATACATCATCTGTATTTTGTATTGTGTGTTCACCACCCAAAATCAATCTCCTTTCACCCCATTTATCCCCCCTTTCCCCTCTTTAACCCCTCCTTTTACTTTGGTAATCACCTACTGTTGTCTGTGTCTATGATATTTTTCATAGTCCCTTCATGGGCCTGGAGAGTATTATAAATGAAATAAGCCAGTCAGAGAAAGACAAATACCATATAATTTCACTTATATGTGGAATCTAATGAACAAAATAAACTACCAAACGAAATAGAAACAGACTCATAGATTCAGAGAACAAACTGACAGCTGTCAGAGGGAAAATACCTGAAATCTTAAAAGCAGAGAGTAAAATGATGGTTACTGGGGAATAGGGATTGAGAGAATGAGAGAGATGTTGTTTAAGGGCACATATCTGCAATTAGTAGATAAATAAGTCCCAGAGATCTAATAACACTGTACAGTGATTATAGACAACAAAACCGTAGTATAAACATTAAACTTGCTAAGAGACTGGACCTTAATTGTTTCCAACACTAGAAGAAATTATAATTTCATGATATAATAGAGGTTTTAGCTAACGCTACAATGGCAATTATTATTGCAGTTATAAATGTATCAAAACAATATGTTCTTAAACTTACTCAATGTTGCATGTCATATATATATATATCAATAAAAATTGTCAAAAAATGCTAACTATGTGAGGTGGTGGATGTGTTAACTAGTTTGATTGTGGTGATCATTTCACATAAATATGTAATACTGTATAGCAAATCATCATGCTATACACTTTAAATGTATACAATTTTTATTTGTCAACCATATCTTGGTGAAACTGAAAAAACATAATATTTAATTATCCTTGTTAGTACCTTAGGGCTCAATAATTATTGGGTTATTAAAATATTACAATATAATGAATTTGCATTTCATTATATCATCAATTTAGCAACACAACCATGAAGTTAACTTAATCTAAAAAAGAAAAAGAAAAAGCTCTTCTACCTCCCAGAAACTTACTGTGTATATAGCCATGAATAAAGAACACAGACAGCCTTTTTAAAATCCTTGCTCCCACACCGCAGTCATATAGAATGTGAATCCATGATGGGTCTCAGCAAAATTACAAATTTCTTCAGGTCATAGACCTTTGAAAATCATTAAACGGTGAGCATCAAATCCATAAATGTCAAAGGTTTGCTACACTTCTGTTATTGCACTTGCACTTGTGTCACTGAACACTTATTACACCAATGAGAACGTGAAATTCTTGGGGATAGGGCCTCTGTTTTGTCATTCCTTTTATATAAATTTGGCGTAACGCAAAGCAACCACTGCAAAAACATTTGTTGAATTAATTTGCTTCCCTAACTGGACTCTCTACTTTCAGGCCATCCTCCTCTCTGAAATTCTGCCAGTTCTTTTACAAAAGTACATCCCTGATAATGTAATCCTATGGTCCTGAAATCTTTAATGGCTGTTCATAATCTGTTTTACAGGATTATGTGTGCACACCCTGTGTGGGTGTATAAGTACCTTCAAACCCTGCCCTCAGTCTATATTCTCAGCCTCACAACCAGACTTTCCTATTCACACGCCCTATTGTCAAGCCATACTAGGTGTTCCTAGAACACATTGGATTTTTATTACTCTATGCCCTTGCAAATGCTCTTTCCTCTGTCTAAAGCTCCTTCCACTCACATCTGCCTGGCAAACTCTTATTAATTATTAAAGCTCAGCTTAAATATCACTACCTTTGTAGCTTTTCCTGACCTGTCACAGATTTAATGTTTCCCCCATTTGTTTTTTCTGTATCAATATGTTTGTTTATTCTGAAAATGTACTAAGCTCAGGGGGAAGGGGAGAAGAGAAGGAGGAAGGAAGCTCCCTGTCAATGGACTTACTCAAGCAGGGACTGCAGCATTACGTGTTAAGCATATTGTTCAAGCAGCAGTGGGAGGGTAAAGCTGAGTGGCCTTTAAGTCGTGAGATGTTAAAGTACATCTTTGGCACTGCGTGTATGTGTTACCATGTGTGTTGAGGGGGCAGGGTGCAAAGAGAAAGAGACAGAAACAGAGCTCAGAGAGGAGATGAGTGTGGACTCAGTGCAGTAAGAGCAGATGGGCAGACCCAAATTTCTTCTGCTTTACAGTTTTGCAGAGGTCTAGCCCTGCATCTAGCGCTGTAGCAAATGGGTGGGAGAGGAGAAGAGGGGGAGGGCCGGTACTCTCTCTGAGCGTGCCCAGGCTCGATTGCCTGACGGATCACCTTCCGCTCCCAAACGGCCAGTTCCTATTCGCCGTGACTCATGCTTATTGTGCCAGCCGGGGCGCGCTCTGCCCTGCAGCCCCACAGGTGGTGTCAGCTCGGTGAGAAGGTTCCAGCCAGGGTAGGCAGTGGAGCGCCGCGCAACGCGCCTTCCTGCCTCCCGGCTGCGGGCCCCAACAGTTCCGACCCGGCGCCAGCAGGCCTGCTCGGTCGATCTTCGAGCTGAAGATGCGGCGGGGCTGGAAGATGGCTCTGTCCGCGGCGCTGCGGTGCTGCCGCCGGGTACTTTCTTGGGTGCCAGTGCTTGTTATCGTCCTCGTCGTGCTCTGGTCTTATTATGCCTACGTCTTTGAACTCTGCCTGGGTAAGTGCAGCTGGGCGCCTAAGGTAGGGAAATTATGCTCCAGCATAACCGTCTGCCCTACCCTTCACGGTGGTGCTCCCTATGCTCTTCGCCTTCACACTGCGGTTTTTCTTTAGCTCCCTGGAGAGCTCCCCACCTCCAACCTCTGGCTTCCCACAATATTTCTTGTGCCCTCCCACGAGGGTCCCACCTTGTCGCCATCGCTTCTCACCTAGGATTTCTTACGTTATTTCCCGGCCTTGCTCACAAGAAATTCCTTGCTCTTCCCACTAGGGCTCCGCTCCCTTTTCTCATACCGGACAAACACTTGTGCCTTGTGTTCTCGTTCTGGGGGCTCCCGCCCTACCAAAGTGAGGAAAGAGCAGCATATCCCGTATCCTTAAACTGTCTACTCACATTGTGAATCCTACCAATGCATTCAACTGGGAGCGCCGCATGTTCCCAAACCCTCTTACTAGGAATCTCAAAATATTTTCCGTAGTCTCTTACTAGCACTCCCTTTTCCAACACGGGGATTCATCCTTTTCCCATATCCTGTCACATTGTCGGAAGTGCTTCACATCTTCCCCTACTTGGGACCCCCCAGCACACCTTGTTCTATCCCATCAGGGTTAATTAACCCTTTAACAAAGTGGTAAACCGTACACTCTCCCTGTGGACTTCACCAGTTTTTCATTTTCTCCAGTGTAATGGGAGCCCTGTGATATATCCTGCCTTGTCCCCTAACATCAGAGCCCCTGACTTGGTCACACTGGGGTTCCCCTTAGAGTCCTGCCTTCCTGCTTTGAGGAGCATTCAGCACTTCCCTTGGAGGCTCCACATTATTTTCTGACACCTCATGCTAGTCACTTTGCTTTTTATTACACTATGGTCCTGTCTTGTCCATTGTCTTCTCACACTAGAATGTTCTCTTTACTCTCCCACAAGTGTTCCCACAATAACTCTTATACCCCTTCCAAGGGCCACTACTTTTTCCAATGTTGATCCAGCCTTTTATCTTTTTTGAAATCGACTCTGCACCTCCTGAACTCTTCTTCCACTGTTAGACCCACATTTGTCACTATCTTTCTCTTGGGTTTCTTCCTATTATTTTTCTCTTACTTCCCCCTAGGATTGCACTTGTACCCTGTCATCTCAAACAAGAAAAACACCATCTGTTCCCACTGGAATTTCTAATTTTTCTTGCCCCTTTCATTGGGAGCGTATTTCTTGCCCCCCTTCATTAGACCATGCTCTTTATAAATTTGAGGTCTCCTCTTGTACCATCCTATCACACTAGGGAGCATTCCATCTTCTCCTTACTTATAAAATTGTTCCCACAGTATATCCTCTTCTTATAAACTCAAAATTCCACAATTTTTCTAGACATAAACCCTAAGACCCTATACTGTGTTTTCCCCACTTGGATTACCCTCCAGTCCCTTATCTTTGTCACTGGTGTCCTTATTTTATCCTGTCTCTTCATAACAGAACCTTTGCTTTTCTCACAGTGAGATCGCCTCTTGCCCCTCTTGTCTCATATTGAGGAATCCCCATTTTTTTCTCCAACATTTGACTAATACTTATTGTCACTTCAATACTAGAATCCCATTCCTAACACCCTTAAACCTGTATTGTGTTCTATATTGTTCCCTATTCATTCAGTGTGAGCTCCCAGGATATTTCCAATCCTCTTACATTAGGACTCCTATTTCTTCATACCAGATTCCTCTCACCTTAAAAATTATGGTTAGGGTCCTGCTTTATTCCAACCCCAGCACTGACTCCACTTGTAACTCCTTTCTCTTACATATTTGACAAAGCAATTGTCTATTCCAGTTAGACTGGGATTAACTAGGGAGGCAGGAGATAACCTTCTTTTCCAATATAGAATTTTTCTCTAATCAGTTTTGTGCATTAGAGTTTAAAATTTTCTCATCACTTTCTTATATTTATTGTGGAAAATGCTGAAACAATTATTAAAATTAAATACAATTAGCTGTCTTCACAGATATAAATTTTGGCTTTGTTTTTCTTTTCTTGTCCAAACCTCGTATTGGGGGTCATTAAGTGGGCCGCGCAATGACTAGAAGTTTTTCTATTCTTAGACTTCACCATCTTGCTTTTTTGAAGGACTGATTGAAGTGTTAAAAGTTCAGCTCTATTATTATTGTATGGACTTTGTGCCTAAGTTAATTGCCATAGTGTAAATACTGTTAAACATATTTTGGAATTTTTCAATATTGACCTACATGAGCTTTGCCAAGAAATCATTTAAAAATTAATATGATTATGGCTAACAGTTACATTGTGCTTAATCTGTGGCAGGCAATACTGTAAGCACTGTAGATATATTTCTCTCTGTATTAACTTATTTAGTCCTCACAGTAATCATACTGTCCCCATTGTACACATGTGCAAACCAAGGCACAAATGACCAAAATGAGGTAAAGACTAAGTTAGAAGCAGTGCAAATAATCAGCTTTCTACAAGTTTTTATAAAAGATTTTATTATTTTCAGAAAGAGGGGAAGGGAGGGACAAAGAGAGGGAGAGAAACATCAATGTGTGGTTGCCTCTCACATGCCCCCTATCGGGGACCTGGCCTGCAACCCAGGCATGTGCCCTGACTGGGAATTGAACCGGGACTCTTTGGTTCTCAGGCCGGCACTCAATCCACTGAGCCACACCAGCCAAGGAAGCATTCTACAAGTTCTTATTAAGCCATACAATATTAGAAGCTGAAATGAAATGTACAGCTTACTTATTTTGTTTTATTTAACATATTTGCAGAACATTTGTTACATGCCATACAGTGTTTTTAAATGACTATATAGAACTACCCCTCTGTCTCTTTCTCTCTCTCTCTTCCTCCCTCTCGTTCTCTCAATTCTTATACTAACATTATTAGGTACATACTATCATTATTCCTATGTTGAAGTCAAGACAACTAAGACACAGACAAAGAAGCTTGTCCAAGGTTACAGTACTAGTAAATAGCTAAGCTTGGATGGCAGCCCAGGCAGTAGGCTCCACAGTCTATGTGTTAACCACCACAGTGCCTCTTATCAACTAATACAGAGGTCAAAACTTATGACTCACAGGCCAAATGTAGGCTGCAGATGTATGCTATTTGGCCTGAACAATGTTTTCTTAACATTTTGTACCAGTTACTATTATTTAAAAAAGCTGGAGGGTAAAGTAGCCTTCACTTCCAATTCTGGCTCCACCAGTCTATCCTGTCATTTTCATTTTATAATCTTTAACAAATTAGAGACCTGGATTTCAGGAAGGTTAAATTACCTTTTCCTAGTCACATGTTTAGTAAATTATTGGACAATTGGATGCCAAGACTGCCTGACATAAAAGAAAAACAACCAAATTGACAGATTTGAGTTTCAATATGACTCAAAAAGGAATATTAAGGTCTTAACTTCTTTCCAGAAATAGAACCCGATGTCTTTCTCTCTAATGTGAGGTTAGAGCTGAAGCAAAAAAAAGTGGTATTTTTGTCTTAGAGTATGAATTCTGCAATTTACTAACTAGAAGACCTGCAGAAGATTGAGAAAGTTAAGAACATTCTCAATCTCAGATGCCTTACATAAACCTTAATTGTATGCTTGTTCATTCATACCACAGAACTTGCTTAGCATCTACTATATGCCATAATAACATTGTTGTGATATTTAAAATAATATGGTATGTGAAAAACATGCACTGCAGTTGATAACACATTGTATGAGTTTATTAAATAGTAACTTCTTATTGCTATTATTAATGGGGATAGAAGAGATTCTGCTTGGCTCAAGAAAATAAGCAGCTTAGACTTTCAGACAGGGAGAAAATTAAGAAATTCACTTTTTAGGTAAAATTCTCAACATAAAATTAACTATTATTAGAGTGTTCAACTCGGTGACCTTTAGTATATTCACAATGTTGCACACCATAACTACTATCTAGTTTCGAAACTATTCATCACTCCAAAAGGAAACCTCATTGCCATTCAGGTCACTCCCCATTTCCTTCCACCCCCAGTCTCTACCAATCACTAATCTGTGTTTTGTCACTATGGATTTACCTACTCTAGATGTTTCACATAAATGCCATCATACACTACACAGAGTGGGTCAACACTAGGTTTACAGTAGTTCATATGGAAAATAATACAAGAATAAACTCTGTGTTTTGCATACTCACAACTATAAACCTACTTTTGCCTCACTCTGTATGTGTGCATTTGTGTCTGGTTTGTTTCAATTAGTGTAGTATTTTTAAGGTCCATCCACAATGTAGTATCTAACTGTATTTCTTTCATTTTTATGGCTGAATTATATCCTATTTTATGTGCATATCATACTTTATCCATTCATTAGTGGATGGACATTTGGGTTGTTTCCACCTTTGGTCTATTTTGAACAGTGATGCTATAAACAAACATTTTTTTTTTTTGAATACTTGTTTTCAGTCCTTTTTAGTAAATATCAGGGAGGGGGTGGAAATTGCTGGGCTGTATTCTATGTTTAACTTTTTAAGAAATCTCCAAAATAATTTCCACAGTGGTTACACATCTTGACATTCCTACCTGTAATATAGGAGGGTTCCAATTTCTCCACATCCTCACTAACACTTGTTGTTTTCCATTTTTATTACAGACATCATAGAAGGTATGGAGCACCTCGTAACTTTTATTTGTATTTCCCTAATGATTAGTGGTGTTGATTGTCTTCTCATGTGCTTGTTAGCTGTTTGTATATCCTCTTTTAAGAAATGTCTATTCAAGTTCTTTGCCCTTTAAAAATTGGGTTATTTGTCTTTTTGTTTTTGAGTTGTAAGATTTCTTTGTATATTCGGAATACTTCACTCTTATCAAAGAAATAATTTACAAATATTTTCTCCCATTCCATTAGTTGCCTTTTCACTTTTTTGATAGCATTGCTTGATGCATGCACGGTTTTTAATTTTGATAAAATTCAGTTTATCTATATCTTTTTTTCATTGCCTGTGCTTTTGGTGTCATATCTA